TGGGTTTGATAGGCCACTTCACTTGCTGTGTATCCATTTGGCACAGGTGGTTCATCGGCTCCCAGTCAGTAGTTCAACACTTAATGTCCGGAGTGACTGCAGTTCGAACTGAGATGCAGGGCAAATGTGGACTACTATCTGCCACTTCTGTGAAATCTAAGGACACGTAAACATACAATGGATACTGGGACATTGTGACCTCCACGGGAACAACCGAGTTGACCCCCTGGCCAACAAGGGAGGCCGCCTCGACCAGTCCAACACTCCAGTCGATCTCGTGTTAGCTAGCTCGTGCATCTCACGTTACATCATTGCCCATTCGTGGGAGAAAGCGCAAGTGAAGCCACCACCGGAGAGGGACAAAGAGAGAGACTTAACCGTCAGACAAATAAGAGTGTTATCCCAGCTAAGATGCAACGTGAAGAGCCCCATCCTGCAGACGTATCTCCATGAAATAGGCTCCGTTTACAATGATTCCTGTATGGAGTGTGGCACAAGTCCTGACGACTTGCAGCACACACTGTATGAGTGCCCGCAGGGGGGTGCACATCGAGGCTCGCTTATGGAGAACAACGTGAGACCGGACCCGGACGTACTCTGGACGAGGCCACACGAGGTTGCCTCCTACCTGCCAGCCTGCGCAGGCCAGCCAGAGGAAGGAAGGAAGAAAGAGTTTGCGATCTCGGGCAAGCTAGATGGCCTGGCTGGGTATGATGTTGTGGGTCTTCAGGGTATCCTTCACACCCTCGATCCAGGTCTTCCTTGGTCTTTCTCTTGCCTTGCACTCTGATATTCTTTTGCATTGCTCAAGAATCCAAAAGGATTAACAAGCAGGTATATATTAAAATAGGCATAAGGGATTAATTTCAGAACCAGCGTAACTAGAAAACATATAACATTTACTTCTGAAGTGACCTCTGAGGCTGACAGGTGTATGAAATAATAATGATATTAATACGTGTATTGCCATCTCGGAGAAAGATTGAAATATGTAGCAGAGCATGAACGGGAAAGGTGAATAGAGAGAAATCTAAAAGGGAACATACTCATTCTTGAACGCAGAGGGATATTCAGAAATCAGTACTTGTCTCCCTTGAAATATGGGCCCTCCATTCTTTATTAATTGACAGTGCAAAAGTACATTACGAATGACGTCCAGAAAGTAAGTACCGTTATCATATCTCTCTGAACTAGGTTAGGATATTCCCGATTTTGGACCAGGGTGAGTTGATGTGTTCAATACTGAACTGAAAAGAGCCCCCCAGCTTCCATCTTGCTGTTGTACACAACAGCCTACAGTACAACGTTTATAAAACATTTCACCCCAGTTTTTTCCCCGCCAGTTTACATAGCCACATTTACATATCAAACATTCTACACCCTTTGAAGCTTCAACATGTCTTCAAAGATTGAAAATTATGCTGGCAGTGAAATTTGGTCTAATAATTCGTTTTCTGAGTGCAAAGAACACGAAGCCTGGAGACATTCATAGGCAGATTTCTGAAGTGTATGGTGATAATGCAATGGGCGAAAGCTTGGTGCGGAAATGGGTTCGCATGTTCAAAGAGCGACGAGAAAACGTGCATGATGAACACAGGAGTGGGCATCCATCTTTGGTCAGTGATGACTTAATAAACAAAGTTGACATTAAGATAAAGAAAGACAGGCGTTTTTCCCTTTTCTCACTCTCTTCAAACTGTCATGAGATTTCAAGGTCATTTCTGCATGAAATCGTCTTTGACCATTTGGGTTATCGAACGGTGTGCTCACGCTGGGTACCCAACAGCTGACACAAGCGCATAAGGATCAACGGGCTGCCAGCGCATTGACATTCCTGACACGTTACAATGACGAAGGAGATGACTTTTTTACTCATATTGTGACGGAGGATGAAACCTGGTTGCATCACTATACGCCCGAGTCAAAGTAGCAGTCCATGCAGTGGAAGCATACGGATTCACCACAACCAAAAAAAGCATACACCGGTCGGTCAACTTCTGAAACACACTTGTAGCTCTTTGGATCTCCGTCTCCTCCTCTGACATTTCAAAATTGTGCAATCAGCTCCATGCTTCCTGTGGATCCATGGTGATTTTTCATACAATGTTGAGCATGATCAGTTTTCTATAAAAGTACTTCATGATCTTCAACGGACTTTTTGACATAGCCTAAGAACATGAATCGCATTGGTTCGACAAAAGAGAGATAGAGAGAGGGGGTGATTGAAAGAGAGAGAGAGCGAGCGAGAGAGAGCGAGCGAGAGAGAGAGAGAGAGAGAGAGAGAGAGAGAGAGAGAGAGAGAGAGAACGGAAGGAGGGAGGGAGGAAGGGAGCCTTGATGAAGGTATTTTAAGCTCCCAACAACACAAGTTAGATCATGTGGGAGGCGGGTTTCGAACCTGCCTGTAGGGGACAACCCGTGCTGAGAGACAGGTATTCGATAAAAAAATAAATCCCCTCACTGGACACGAATTCGGGTCTTCTGCGTAAAAAAAAAAGCGTTCATCATAAACACCGGAAAAGACAGATATATAATATTAATTGAAAATCGAAATACGGAGCAGTAATTGTTAGTAGTTCAGTTGAGTTTGAGAAATAGACAAATGCAAGAAAGCCTGACAATGGTCCCAAGATAATGTCAATCACAGAAGTGGCATAATGGTTCCCATAAGGTAAACAAGATGGTGGAGTCAAAAAGTCCGCGACACAGAAATTCTTTGCAATGTTCTGTCATAGCAAGGTAAAATCCAGAAAACAAACCAAAAACACCATGCCAGGGATGACAGGAAAAGAAATGATATGAAGTGGACGGTGTTTTTTAAATAAGGGCTGTGAGCAAAACAAAAAGCCTCAGGAGAGCTCCCAAGTACAGAGTCGCTTGCCTCGATGTATTAATATAACTTTAATAACCCTTGTTGTTTTATCTACAGATCTTTGCGGTCCTCAAGAACAAAATTTAGATAGTTTATAAAACGGGATTCGACCATGATTTCCAGGGCAACCCTGGCCGAGAGGGATGCAATGTCCCATCACAAAGACCGAGACACACATTCTCCCCCATATGAGAATCAATCTATGTGTGCTAGGGTGGAGCGCTTGACTAAGGGATGTTTTAAAACACATGCATTTGTTGTGTCTTTACGCTGTTTATTTACTGATCTATTTATTTTATTTTTGTTTTGTTTTGTTTTCCGTCTCCTTAAGAATTGTACAGTAGGCCTTCTTGCAACACAAATAGGTCTTATTATAAGTTAAAAATTCTAGTAGAGAGTAACATCACAGAAATGAAGGAGCGGTAATACAATAGATGTTCCAGAGGAAATAAGGAGCAAACCTTACCAAAGCACCAGCTAACCACCCACATGTTTTTACACTTCCATCGACACAGTTTAGTCTGTTCAGGAGACGGGCTTAGAGTTTGTCTGTCAGAGACAACCCTGGCCTAGGTAGAGATACATCATCAAAGAAGAAAGGCTCGAGATAATAGACCAAAAAATCTCCGCACAAAGGAATCTAACTCCGATCTTCTGCGTGCAACGGAGAAGCTCATAACTTCTATGACACACCAGTCTTAACATTGGTGACATCACCCATTACTTTCAATTCTAATTTAGATGGGAATGACCCTAAGCAAACGGTGACCAGCCCTACTGAGTGTATTGTGGTCACATCTTCGACCTTTTCATTGCATTTATCTAACTAAATATCTGACTACATTTTAAACGTCGACTTGAGATAGATGAAGGCATACGCTTTTATTTCTTCTTATTTTCCTAAGAATATTTGGCTTCTTACACTGGCCAGAGTGGAAGCGTGGAGTTACGCTTATGATGAGAGAGTAAGAGAGAGAAAGAGAGGGAGAGGGAGAGGGAAAAGGGAGAGCATGCATGGTACAAAATGATATAAAATATGTCCCCTTACTGATTATAAATTGACGTACTAAAGCCTTGCAGTGCTGAAGTGTTTTTGCTCTCCCCTTGACTTGCAATCTCGTTTCTGTATGATTTGCATCTGGTGTTTAATAGCTTGAAATTCTTGTCTTCTTGTCATGTAGTAATCTGTTTTTGCTATTACCAACAAATACATAAACATCATGGAGACATTTAATAAAAGAAAGACCCAGATACAATACTCCTTTTTTATCAATATTAAAATTATCACTTTATTGAAAGATTTTTTCGAAGTTAAAATGGCAAAATCTGAAATATGTATGAGTTGAAAAATCCATTCGAGAGATTCAGATGCTTAAATGCAAAGCAATTGAACCTGCTTTTTATCCCATTTGGAAATAAATGAAGTACTTGGCAAATGGAGAGAACATATACTGATCAACCTGCTTAATATAATTATTTCAGAGACATTACTTCTGCATTCATCACATTACCCCCCCCCCCCCCCCCCCCCAAAAAAAAGCCTAGAGCCACAGACTGTGAATGCCACAAAATATTCTTACGAGTCACACAAAGGGGGTTTTCGTGGTCAAGGGATCCACTCTAAGCATATTAGTATTTTGTGCAACGACGCGGTGGAATCAGGTGCTCGTCAATTTGGGGTATATGAAATTATTGGTGTCGTTTATAGTTTGTTTATTTATCTTCCATTTGATAAAAAATACCCATAATGTATCTTAAATAGAAGTTGAGATATTTGCAATAATAGAAGGTGGGGTTTGCCTCGTATAAGAGACAACATTAGCGAAATAAGGGAACCAAAGTTTGGTGACGTACAATGCTGTAGTACCCTTGGAAGCTGCAAATTTACGTTTTTGTGCCTTTGATCAACGTTTCTCAGTAAAATTCACATTGAAATGTGTTTTTAAAGGATAGGAAAGGTGTTTATAACACAAGAAATTGTAAAAAATTACCAGGGAAGCGAAAAAATGCCCGCTTCTTTGATTTCATTATTTTGACGAGCGCCTGATTTTCACCAGGAGGCCTCACATATTATGGTCTCCTGTTCAGCTGGCTCCCAATATCACTCGGTCGTTTACAGTCGCCCCCCCAGCCAGTCCTTGTTGTTTTTAATTAATCTGATTGTTATTTGTTTGGATCATTCAGCTTTGATTAGTTCTATGTTTATTTGAGGCAAGCAGATTAAATAGAGGAGGAATTTTACGGACGTTTGTGGTCCAGAATAAACTTGGATTATACCACAATTCACTATTAAATTTTATTGGCTGTGTACACAGGCGGAGTAGTGTTGTTTTTTTTTTGGGCTGTTTGGTGGGTTTTTTTGTTTGTTTTTTTTGGTCCCGTGACCATTTTTATCAAATTGACGCAATGAAAAACAGGTACGCATAATAGTGACCTGTATTGCACACATTTATTAGTGTAACACGTTAGCCTCAATGTAATGATTTTTGTTAAAACTGTAATCAAGTATTTCTTTCAGAGTGAAATGTCCGAGATCCTTTAATTTTCAGTAAAGGTTCGATTTCTACACATATTTTTAAAAATTAAAACACATAATGAGCACGTTGATAATAATAGTGTAATAGTAATTACAATACATGCTTTAGAGATCGACATGCACTGACATTGATGACCACAGAGTGCGCTACTGATTCTGCTGAGGGCAAACTGGGCTGTAACTCTAAGGTCACCAGAGGCCACTGGGCTGAGGCTGAGCTGGTCTGTCAGGGGGTAGAGAGAGACACTTGATGTTGTTCCTGCTGTAGACTTCTCTCTTGAGCTGACTGTAGCGTGAATGTTGCCCGCTGAGATAGTCCAGGCTGTAAGGTCGGTGCCCGTAGATGGAGTTTGCCAACACGGGAACCACACGGAACTTTTCCTGTCGTGGATGACGATTTAAAAATAATATGAAATAGATTTTGGCATATTTTATTCTATTCTATTTTTTCTGTTCTATTCTATTCTATGTCTCTAAAGGACTTCAATATATCTTTCGACAAGGGAGAGCCTTGCTGCTGGAAGTAAAGCCTTCAAATGTTAATGTTTAAAATATGACAGACTTTTTTACTGCCACAATTGGTCTCATCGGCCACAACAGAAGCCACCAGTAATCGAAACTTTTAATTCTTCACACTCCTTTATTTTGTTGGAGATGTTCTCCTTTGCAGATGTATTGATCATTGTCAGATACTGACAGATGACCATCTGTTGTTATTATTGTTATTATTATCATTTATATTCTTCTTCTTCTACTTCTTCTTCCTCTTCTTCTTCTTCTTCTTCTTCTTCTTCTTCTTCTTCTTCTTCTTCTTCTTCTCCAGGTGACAGGTCTGGAGCAGTCAATGACGATCATGGTACTCAATTCCTTCCTCTTGTCTGTCTTCCCGATCAACTGGTTTTTTCCAGGATTTGTGTTATTTGTCGCCAAGCTGTTCAGGCCATCTTTAACCTAGGAAGAAAAGAAACAGGAAGACAGATAAGGACGATACAATGTTTGAGTAGAAAGAAGGAGCAAGCAAACCACACCAGAACACCCGCCAACCAACCACACAGTTCCAAAACACAGAAGATGGTAAAAGTAAACACGTGCTCATTATTATGACCTTATGCAGTCGTAAGCGCCGTAAAACTCTTATACCCTGAGCCCATTGAGTTGCGTCAGTAGTCTAGTGGTTAGGCTACCGGACTCGTAATCGTGAGATTGCGGGTTAGGGGGTTTGAGCCTCAGCTCCGTCCGACTTTGTGTCCTTGGGAAAGACACTTCGCACGAATTTCCCACTCGGTTCGGTCCTTTCGGAGATGGACGTTCAACTCGGAGGTCCCGCCCCTTAAATAACCTAATAGTGTTGATAGAGGTATTAAACCCATACCATATTTTTAGTCCATTGGCACGATCGGTTCAGTTCGGTTTGGATCGGTTCAGTTTTGATCGGTTCAGTTTTGATCGGTTCGGTTTTGATCGGTTCAGTATTGATCGGTTCAGTTTTGATCGGTTCGGTTTGTATCGGTTCAGTTTTGATCGGTTCAGTTTTGATCGGTTCGGTTTTGATCGGTTCAGTATTGATCGGTTCAGTTTTGATCGGTTCGGTTTGTATCGGTTCAGTTTTGATCGGTTCAGTTTTGATCGGTTCGGTTTTGATCGGTTCAGTTTTGATCGGTTCAGTTTTGATCGGTTCAGTTTTGATCGGTTCAGTTTGGTTCTATTTGCTAGCCAGATTGAGGGCGCCAAGCGGCTATCGTGGCACAAACCGATCGCAGGACTCGTCGCCTCAAAAAACAAAGTGCTTGTGTTTCCAGGCGACAAGTCGGACGATCGGTTGGCCTCCGGCCGAAACAACTGATCCCCCAAAGAGCACTCCGTAGTACCAAGCAAAGAGAGTAATCTAAACCCT